CAAGCGGGGAGCCAGGAACCCAGTCCAGCTCTCCCATCTGGGTGGCAAGAACCCAGCTACGAGAACCACCACTGTTGCCTCCCAGGATCCACACCAGCAGGAAGCTGGAATGAGAAGCATGAGAAGCCAAAGGCAGGTGTTGAACGCAGGCACTCCAATGTGCACCACAGGTGTCCTAACTGACGGTGAAACTGCTAGGCCAAACACCTGCCCCAAGTTTATTTTTACGATGCAAGAATGTTACAGACTTACCAGGTTATCATAGGTTTACTTAAAACTAGTCTCTAATCATATTGGAATTTTATTTGTCCCTGAGTGATAATGTTTTTACAGATAAATCATAACCAAGCCATATATTTTGTCCCGATAAAGTACAACATGACATTTGTTCTTAATCTTCTAAAATCATTCCTCAAAGACTATGTTGATCTTCCTGTTACCCTTGTAAATAATCTAATCTAGTGCAGAACTACATAAAATAGCAAGTTGACCCTTGCTGGTTTTCATCTTAGGATATATGCACTTCAGGGGAAGATATGTGAGACAGCGAATAAGTCACCGCGTGGGACCCCACATCCCACATCTGACTGCCTGGTTCAAATCCTAGCCCCTCCACTTCTGATCCAACTTCCTGCTAATGCACACCTTGGGAGGCAGCACGTGGTGACTAAAGCACTTGGGTCTCTGCCACCCACGTGGGAGACCCAGACTCAGGCTGGCTTCAGCCGGACCCAGCCCCGCTGTTACAGGCATCGGGGACACATGGAATATCTTTCTGTATCTGTCTCTCTGCTTTTCGAATAGAATGAAAATTTAAAACAAAAGAAATTTTAAGTTGTGTGCAGTTCAGAAATTCTGGGAACCAGGTATTGAGGTCATTGTCAAAGGAACTGCTACTCTAAGAGGCAACGGATAAAACCAACAGACATATCTGGTAAAGCCAATACTTCGGTTTGTTTGGGCTCATTTCTCAAGGTACATTCTCTTCATTTTCAATTATTTAAATGTATTTTATCTATTTGAGAGGCAGGGTGGGAGGGAGGAGAATGCAGAGAAAGAGAGAGAGTGCTGATTCACTCCCCAAATGCCTGTAGCCACCAGGGCTGGACCAGGCTGAAGCAGAAGCTGGGAACTCAACCCAGGTCTCCCATGTGGGTGGTAGGGGCTAAACTACTTGGGCAATCACCCACTGCTTCTCAGAGTGTGCACTAGCAGGAAGCTAAAATAGGAAACTCAAACCCAGGCACTCTGATAAGGGATGTGAGTATCCCAAGTGGTATTTTAACCACTAGACCCAATCCCTGCCCCTTCCCTCTTTAAAATTAGTATTTATTTATTTTATGTATTTGAGAAATAGAGCAGCCCTTGAATTTTAAATGGCTTCCTTAAATTGTCTTTGGTGTTTTGAACCTGTTTTATGCAGTGGAGCTAAATATTTAAAAACTCATGTCCCAGTGCAGTTGGAATGAGTATCTACTGTTAGACTACAATTTTGCCCAATTTTATGGTTTCCTCTTGCATCATATTTGAAGACTTTTAGTTATGGTGATCTCTGTTAGGAAGCTCCCCTGGAGAAAATAAGAATTCTTTTATAAAAGGAAAAAAAATAGAAGGAAGCAAAGAATTGTGCTGATGGCATCGTTTATTATACTTAAGGTAGATTAACTGTTTACAGTACTTGTCTGTACCTCTGAGGAACGGTAGTTTTTCTACTTACTACTTGTTGAATTCTTTACTTACTGGAGTATTAAGCTTGTGATTGGAAATTGAAAATATGTCATTGCAAAAATTAAAAGAAAAATAAGAAAGTAAGGAGGAGGGAGGGTGGGGTTGTATCATTATATTCTTATATCTGTATATATATGAAATACATGAAATTTGTGGCCTTTACATAAATAAGCAAAATTGAAAATAACCAAATAAGTTACATATTTTAATTCTCAAGAAAAAATAAAGTAGATAAACATTTTGTAAATATTCTTTGAACTTCTAAAATATCATTATTTTAAAAATCACCTTTAGTGGGCTTTTTAATCACCTGTGTGCCAACTAAACTCAATGCAATTTCGAGTTTTAACTTTCCCAGTGTATTCTCACATGTTTAACTTCTGTAAACTTAGAAATATAGTGTGACTTCTTTATGATAAGGTATTATGTATTTCAAAAAATCGATAGGAAAGGATTTGGAAATGTTTTCAGCACAAAGAAATAACAAATGTTTGAGGAAATAGTTATGCTTCCCCGAATTTGAATATTATACAATGAATGCATATATCGAAGCATTACATGGTACCTCATAAATCTGTACACTGTTCATGGGTCAATTACAAATGTTAGAATTTTTTTAAAATTGCCTGTGTACTGAATATGTCCAAACTATTTGTTTTGTCATTATTCCCTAAATAATGACAAGTATTTACATAGCATTTACTCTAAATGATGGGGTATTACAAATAAGTTAGAGATGCCTTAAAAATGTGTGGAAGAATGTGTGTGCATTATATATAACATATTTATATACCATTTTATAGAAGATATTTAAATATCCACACATTTAAATTAACTACCGAGAGTCCTAGAACTAATTCCTTGTGGATACTTAGGGACAAGTGTACTACTACTTAGAATAAAAGTGAACATTTTTCAGTTGAAAAAAAAATACAGAATGGCTTTCAATTTGATAAGCAGGGTCTTAAGCCCAAAGTGCTAATTTTTATCAGCAATGAAACAAAATAATACATTTGTGCACATTTGTGCATGAATAAGTTTTGTTTTATTATATGGACAATGTGGATTCTATTTTCACTGCTTATCTTTGTAAATCAACTTATTGCAACTTAAAACTTAGCTGTTACCACATATTAGAGGTCTTCCTTTCATTCCATAGACTGAATAAGTTAACCAACTATTCCTAACCAAAACTAGGACTTAGTAAGGCCTTTTACAAAAATGACAGGCCTCTAGCAAGTGTATTTCTTCTGACTGCCGGCATGTTAAAGCTGCTTTGCTCTGCTGGAACTGCGATATGAAATAAGCATAATTTCATATATAAATACATTACTAAGTCTGCAGGAAGTAATGGTGGCAGGTCCCAACACATTCTTCCTTAAAGCCTTAAACCTAGTGCATGAATCTCAGTCATGGACCTTATTTCATTTACTCTGATAAAATAAGACTTCTTATTTCCCAGGAGATAACATAGAATTATTTTATCTGTCCCTTTAAATATTTGCTTGTTAAAGTTTCAAAAACATGCATTAAGAGATGCATTTTTAACCTATAGCCAGGTTTAGCAGAACTTTCTTTCATGATGAAAATGTTCTGTGTCTCTGCCATCCAATATGGTAGCCATTATGGCTACTGAGTACTTAAAACATAGCTGGCATGACTTGGGAATTGAGTTTTCCATTTTATTTTCTTTTTTTTAATCTTAATTAAAATAGCCACATGTGGCTAGTGGCCATCTTACGTGACAATACAATTGTAGATCATTCCTTGTATTATATATATATTATGTATTATATATTATTATATTATATATATGCCTCGATGGCAGATTCATTAAAGGTCTCTTCATTATTTAAATTATAATACATAAATTGAAAAGTAATTTCTAAGCATAGGTGTAATGATAACTAGCTTCTCAACATGTCAAAACATTTAAAATTTATAAAAGGAGAAAGAAAATTGGTCCAATGATAAATTATATTTTGGATATTGGCTTTTACATGAAAATCTAGATGTGAAATTTAATTTTTCTCAAGGAATATATGTTCTTTGACTTTTCAAAATTTTAAACAATAATAAAATTTGCTATTTTCTAAACTATCTTAATTCTTGTTTTCTGGTAAAGAAAACAATTATAAATATTTCAAATAGTTATGGACAAAATTAAAACTGATTTCTCACAAGTGGTTTCTCCTAAGCCCCAAGAAAAATAAGGGATGCAGTTCCCCTTCCCCATCCTGTGCATGTATTATTTTAAAATCCCCCACGGTTGTACATGTTTTTGAGCTACAAATGATTCTAGTATCTTTATTTCTGAAGGGGTAGAGCTACTTCCTGACTGACCACTTCATCTTTTACAGAGAGGAGCATTGTCCTTTGAAAGCATTTTCCCCTTTAAAAGTCATTTCAGCTGCATTTAAGACACATCCATTATTACCCTTCCAGGGACAGCTATTTTTCACTGGGCATTAGAATACAATTAATCATCTTCGCCCATCAAGAAACAGAGGCTTGATTAAATCAGACAAGGACATTAAATTCCAGCTTCACTCACTCCGGTGACCATACCGATGCTGAGTTGAGGAAGAATTTGTGAAACTAGCATTTGGTAAAAATTGTACGCCTGTCTCTTTAAATCTAAAAAAAAATCCTTTCAGAAGCTGTAGAGAGAAGGTGCTAGAACTGTGTACGATCATGACTGGAAAGCAGGATCCCTCAGTGACTGCCGAAGCTTCCCAGCACGAGCCAGAGAGGCAGTTCAGCACAAGCCTCCACTGATTCTAAGCAGAACGATGATGCCACCGAACAGATCTCAAATAAAATTAAACTGAGAAAGCAGATCTTTCAAGGGAATGAGGCGGAGGCTCGCTTTTATGTTAAAAGCCACCAGCATCCTCCCTGCTAGACATGGACATGACATTTTTAAAGGAATTATTTGGTTACAGCGTTTTAAGCAAACTGTTCTAAGGAGTCTGTACATTGCATTGTTTTTTCTATTCTTTTTTTCTTTTGCATATATGTGATTCTGGAGGTAAAGAAAAAGCCTGCCAGGGATTCAGAAGGCATCCCACTAGCGATCAGCTGACATTCCTAACTGAAGGCTGCAATGTGTTGCTTATTCATTTTGTACCGTGGGAGCTGCGGGGACTAGCAGAGAGCTAAACTATGCATTTCAAACAGCAGTGCTTGTGCAGAAAGAGGGGTGAGAGAGAGGCAGCCGGCGAGGAAAGAGCACAGCTGGACTTTCTCCTTGTTTTTATCCATTTCTGCAGGATCATGTATTCATAAGGGATGAGGCGGGCCACGGCGATCCCAGGCCTGAGCCGCGGCCTACCCAGTCAGTTCAGAGCCAGGCCCTCCACTACCGGAACAGAGAGCGCTTTGCCACGATCAAATCAGCATCTTTGGTAAGCAAACACCCCTCTACCCACCTTCCCTTCCTTCCCCTCCTCCCCATCTGGCAGCCTCTCGCCCTCCCTGAGCCTCTCTCGGCTTCATGGATGGGAGGAAGAGTCAAGAATGTTTTCTCTCTCCTAATAATTTGATTCATTTTAGAAAAAAAAAAATCTGTTGGCATAGCAACCTGATCTCAGATATTTTAGCATTGTCTATGGCATGGAAAAAAAAAAAAACCTTTGTGTGTGTGTGTGTGTGTGTGTGTATGTGTTTGTGTGTATTTGTATATGCTGTATGTGCAAAATATAAGACCTTTGAGATGAAGTTGCTAGTCTATCCAATTTTTTTAAGCTATTTCTCTTTTGGCTGAAATAAATAATGCTAAAAATTTTTTTAAGGTATTGATGATGTAGGTGTATGCAGGGTACTATGCTCCTTTTTGTATAAATGCATGTATGTCTGTAATGTATACACACACATCAAAAGATGAAACCCAATTTTTAAAAATATATGGCTGCCTAATGTATATAATTTTAGAAAATAAGGTACTTGCTTCCCAGGGATGGATTGCTGGTTCGTTCTGGTTCATTCATTTATTTATTGCAACAATGGTAGTGGCTGCACTTCCCCATTTAACCCCTGAAGAATCTCCTGGCACCAAGAGAGCAAGAAGGGCTTTGTAAGAGAGGATCGGGGTGACTGTGGAAGCGAAGAGGCTGTAGGATTCAGCATTTTTACTATTGCAAATGTGATTGCTGGATGCCCTTGTAGTAGCAAAAGGGGTGTGTGCTGGAAGAGTTAGTTTTCATGCCTCCTCCCCTTGGCCCCACACGCGTGCGCGTGCGCGCTCCACACACACACACACACACTCACACACACACACACCACACACACTCACACCGTTTCATCTCTGGCACTCTCAACTCTTTTTAATCTTGCGCTTCCAAATCTCACTCCTCCATCCCAAAATGATCGGAATATTAGTTGTTTTGCCAAAATTGATGTTAGAGGTCGCATGGGCAGTGGGAGTTATAGTGTACACTGCCTGGCTGTTACATTCAGAACCCATGATGACATCATCCAAGGCCGACCCAGAAAGGATCATTTTTCTTGTCCTATTTTTTAAACCTGATTTCTACTTTATTTCTCAAGTGTTTTAAAGGCTTCAGTTACCTTTGGAATTCATAATGGGTTATAATCTTTAAACACCCAAATATAAGGAAAATGGAAGTTAAAGCACCTATATCTTGCTATGCCTGCGTCTCTCTAAAAACAAGCAATTTAATTTAGATTGCTTATAAATAACCCCACTTTTGAGTTCCTTTATATAGAAGTTTCTTGTAATCTCTTTGATGGGCAATTTTTCATTTTAAAGGAATGCTGTGCTGTGTAATGGAGATCTTAAAATGTCCACTATATATTTGCTAATGATTGTTAGGCACCTAAAAAATAAGCTTTTGAGGCTAAATAATGCATTCATGAGAGTGTCAAATAATTATCTTTGTGCCATGATATCTGACAAAAGAAGAAATATGGTATTTTAGAGAACTGTTGGTAGTACTTGCCACAGAGTCTTGTGAGACTTGTACCTTTATCCAGACCTGTTCGTGTTGAAACACGAGCAGGAACGAGGAAGCCCCACTGAGCCTCAGAGCACCATGAGCAATTTCTGCCTGGGAAGCAGACATTATGCCATGTGGAGGTCCCCTCTCCCGGACGGGTTCTCTGCTCTCCTCACTAGCCACACCCTCCTTCCCACCTCGCACGGTTCTGACCTCTCCAGTCTCCCAGTAGGAAGTCACTATAGCCATGCCCACTTAAGCTTGCGCTCGCGTCTGTGAAGTCACCCAGGCCACTCTGTGTGCACATCAGCCATCACAGTCTTCCTCTCTGTGTGTGATAAAGGCTGCTTCCCCATGAAGCCCCTACAGGGCTGTGGGCAAGTCCTCAGGAGCCCCCCTGAACCCCACAGGCTTCACAGTGCCTATCCACAGGACTGCTGCGATCAAGCGCTTGCATGGACTTGCGAGCTGCTAAAAGGCCTGGGCCCTTGTAGTAAGTTTAAAAAAAAAAAAAAAAAAAAGACTAGCTGATAGGCTGTTGCTTTAGCCATAAAGTAAGTTGTTTTTGTGGCACACCCTTTCTAGAGCTAAGACTTTGGGAGTCATGGTGGGATTGATTGAAGTTTATCAGAGGTCAGATAGCATTTGTGTCTAGTGGTTTTTTAGGTAGGAAAAAAAAATCAATGGAGGGAAAAAGTGGTATGGCATTGGACGGGCCTGTGCCTCACTTTGGACAGTCTGACCATTGGTCTGGATATTCTAATGTACAATATCAAATATTACAATTCTACCATCCATGATATTATTTTAAAGCCTGGTTCCAGTAGGAGTATATGAATCAGGACACTGAGGTGTCATTAAAAATATTTCATTTAAAAAAATATCGTGATTCCTATTTTTTTATGGGTCCCAGCTGAGATCAGGACTAGAGTGGCATAAGTGACTTACAAGTAAGGACAAGATCATGGGAAATTGAAGATCCAGTGTAATGACAGTCAAGTCATCACTGAAACCTCACCTCTCTTCTCATAGTTGGTAGCAATACTATTACTGATTGATTTTGGTTTTAGTCTTTCTTTCTTTTTTTTTTTTTTTTTTTTTTTTGGACAGGCAGAGTGGATAGTGAGAGAGAGAGAGAGAGAGAAAGGTCTTCCTTTTTGCCATTGGTTCACCCTCCAATGGCCGCCACGGCTGGCGCGCTGCGGCCAGCACACCACGCTGATCTGAAGGCAGGAGCCAGGTACTTATCCTGGTCTCCCATGGGGTGCAGGGCCCAAGGACTTGGGCCATCCTCCTCTGCACTCCTGGGCCACAGCAGATAGCTGGCCTGGAAGAGGGGCAACCGGGACAGAATCCTGCGCCCCGACCGGGACTAGAACCCAGTGTGCCAGCGCCGCTAGGTGGAGGATTAGCCTAGTGAGCCGCGGCGCCGGCCGGTTTTAGTCTTTCTTTGCAATCTTTTTTTTTTTTTTTTTAAGTTTTATTTTATTTATTTGAAAGAGACAATGACAGAAAGAAAGAGATCTTCCACCTGTGGGTTCACTCCCCAGATGGTTGGACAGCCAGGCTGGTGCAGGGCAAAGCCAGGAACCTGCAGGAACCTGGAACCTCCTTCCTGATCTCCTATGAGGGTTGCAGGGGTCCAGGTACCTTGGCCATCTGCTGCTGCTTTCCCAGATGCATTAGTAGGGAGGTGGATCAGAAGCTGAGCAGCCAGGACTCGAACTGGGACTCCAGTATGGGATGCCGGCGTGCCACAGGCAGCTTAACCCGCTGTGCCACAGTGCCGGCCCCTAGTCTTCCAGTAGAAATGCTAGAAGCACCAGAGAGGTCCAAATATGATGAACAAAATGAGGAAGAATTTATAAATTAGTTTTTAAATTACTAGATGAATAAATGATGATTGTATAGTTTAAATTGACTTTCAAAGTGACAAAAATGTTACTGTACCTAGAATATGCTTTATGAGCCTACCTCATCAACCTAAACCTAAAAGAGGCCTCTCTTGGTAGGGTTTGCCCTTAGTGTTACATTCTATGTTGTACTTTGGAATGAAGTTATTGACAAGTGTATGAAACCCATGGCCTACAGGCTTTTACTGCTGGATTTTTAAAACTGTCTTGGCGCCTTAAAACCAAGATTTCTGTTATTATGCACTGCTGCTTTTTTAAAAAAAAAAAAAGATTTATTTATTTGAAAATCACAATTACAGAAAGAAAGAGGGAGACAGAGATCTTCCATCTGCTGGTTCACACCTCAAATAACTACAATGGCTGGGGCTGGGCCAGGCCAAAGCCAGGAGCTTCATCTGGGTCTCCCATGTGGGTGTAAGGGACAAAACACTTAGGCCATCTGCTGCTGCTTTCCCAGGTCCATCAGCAGGAAGCTGCATTGGAAATGGGACAGCCGGGATTCAAACCGGTGCCCATATGGGATGCCAGCACTGCAGACAGCAGCTTAACTTGCTATACTACAATGCCAGCCCCCAAAATGCATTTTTAACAAAGGAAAGGGAAGGGCTGCGGCCTTGGTACCAGAAGAAACTTTAGGATTTTTAAAAATTTTTGTAATTTTTAAAATAATTTTCTAAGGACAGAGTTTATTGACCTTACTTTGAAGAATTAGGAAAAGGAAGGGCATTCCATGGCATTTTAAAATGTTTATCTTTTTCTCCTTCTTTAAGAAAGTTTATACTGAACTAATTTGTTATCTGGAGATATTTTCTTCAGAATTACTGATCTCACTTCTTGGACTGCTGAGATATGCTTTTTTTGAGTTTTTATTGCTGATGAATGAAGAACCTAATAGTTTAATTGTATTAGTGACCCACAGAGTGTTCTCAGCTGTTGCTACACCAGATGTCATTTCTTCATAAAATTTTACAATGTCAGGGCCAGCACTATGGCATTGTAGGTTAGGCCTCCTCCTTTAGTGCCAGCATCCCGTATGGGCACTGGTTCTAGTCCTGGATGTTCCTCTTCTGATCCAGCTCCCTGCTAATAGCCTGGGAAGGCAGTAGAAGATTGTCCAAGTGCTTGAGTCTCTGCACCTACATGGGAGACCCAGAAGAAGCTCCTGGCTTCAGATTGGCCCATTTTTGGGGGTAAATCAATGGATGGAAGACCTTTCTCTCTGTCTCTCCCTCTCTGTCTGTAACTCTGTCTCTCTCTGGGTTGCTGGCAGTTTCCGTAGGAGATGTGACTGGCAGGGGCACCAAGGCCATGTCTATCATCAGGTAAGTCAGCATTGGCCTTGTGAGGGCATTCCCACTGGAATGCAGTGGACCTGCTACCCAGGTGAATGGACGAAAGAACATACCTAAGAAAGTGGACTACAAAGAAACTCTTAATTTGGAGCCCCCAGGCAGGCTTGTCAGAGAAAATGATTATTCTGTGTATATAAATGTAGATTTTTTTTTGACTTGGCTTTTCCAGATTCAGTTTGAAAAA